CAATATAAAAGACGTTGTTTTCAATCTGCCTTTATTAACTACACGGCTTCCCTACTAGGCCGTTAATAATAATTAATAATCACAAAACTAGTTTGTATATACAGGCGTATTTTATCATACTCAGCTGTTATGTCAAAAGTTGAATTTGCTTATTGACCAATCAGATTGCCAAGATTTTATTACATAGTATATAGAAAATTATTACACATCTTTATTACACTGAACTGACATGTTATATGGGATAAAGATATCGCGTGGTGTGGATAAAATATTACAAAATATTACTGCAGCTAAACAATACAACACGATGGATACACAATGCCGCGATATTACTTTACCCGCGTTGCACATGCGCACTAAAGTAACAATGTCGCCCAGACCGAAAGCGAGGCTTCACATTTTTATTCTACCATATTTCCACTTCATATGTATCATCGTACTACTCCACCTTATTCACTCATTGTAATCTAACAAAACTAGAGTTTCAGAGAAAGCTTTTAGCCACCGTTTTTATCCATGGTTAGTCTTCTTTCATTCAATCGCTTACTAGTACATTTCGTCTTTTTACCCTTTTAAACTACCTCGTTGTATTCTTTTAACCCTTGATTTGAAAAACAAACAAACATGTATCCAATTAGTTACTACTTTACTATTTCATACAAAGTGTGTTTTTAAACTTAGTATTGTAAGTAGTTATTTCATATGTACGCATTGCAGTGCCGTGATTAGGGAAACCTTTAGGCGTCTTTTGAATAGTTTTTAGTTTATTTTGAATCTAATTCCACCTATATAGGGTGTAGTTAAACAGTCTATTGTCGGCAAGACAGTAAACGCCCCCACGACAATAATTTAACAGCCTTCAACTTGAAAAAAATGTATTGATTATATAGATGAAAAGAAATAATTAGGTAACATTGGAAACAATACAAAAGGAACGGCCCACGACCTTTATCGGCAGCAGACACACAACAACATTTCAATATATTTGGTTAATTCATCCATGTCATGGTAACTCTTAAATGCCAGCAATATTCAGTGAACAAAACATAGGATGTTAGTACAATTGACAAAGCGAAAACAAGATATCAATACTGGTGTGTACAGATCCGAACTGTCAATCTAAACACGTTTCTTCCTCCCTTGTAAAGTTGTCGGTGAACCTAGAAAACATTTGGCTTTGTACTAGCCGTGCATGTATGTGTAAACGAGGAAAGGTACACTTTCATTGAAATATACAAATTCGCTTCTCCATAATACTCATTGTAAATATGTCCTTGTCACAATCACATTCAGTGTAGAATAAAATGGTATACCAAGATCTTGGTAATGAATCTAGATAATTGGCATATGTCATTTATTGACATGAAAATTACCCACAAACACATTGATTGTGAGTGCTGCTCTTAAAAAAACAACAACGTATAATATTAATACATTACCATAATAGCATACGCATAGTATTATATTTTTTCATGTTTAATGTCAATGAGAACATTTTATGAAAATTTATGTTTACGATGTTTGTGGATACACGACAACACGCTATTTAAGCATACGTTGCCATTCACCGCTGTGTGATTGAAAAAGTTACGCCTTTCTCATTTGCATTGTAATAGAGTGGTATTTGCATTCATTGTCGTACATACTATATAAGCCACAGTTTGCAATCACTAAATACGGTGCTGTTCCGATCATAAATACCTCTCATATACCTCTCACTAGATCCGACAAAGCTGTTCAACTAAAATCATGATTGCGTTCTTATCATTGGTCACTACTGGCTTGGCATTGGGTAAGTTATGTCATCACATTTTATAGGATAAAATTAACAATAATTGATAGCTATCATTTGCAGTCTTAATTCAAGTATTTTTGAACATTTAATCATTGGCAAATCACTTATCCTAACTTTGAAAATATCCGAACATATTGCATATTCACTGTAACTGACACTTGAAATGAAATTCTAATTCGCTGACAGCCCAAGGCATACCATACCAGGAAGAACCATGTATAAGCTATGGGGGAAAATGCGGATACGATTCGTGCTGTTCAAATAACAATTATGTTGTTGGTAAATGTCCTTCACAAGCCGGCAACGTAAGATGTTGTAACACCAATCCGACCTGTGGTGAGTTTATATCTTTCATAATACTTCTAATCTAGTCACTAATAATAACGCAGCATATACAACGCGTAAAATTAATATCCAATATATTATATGAGAACCCTGTTCCGAAATTGAATACTGAATAAGATTTATCATGTTTTCAAATCCTCGATTCGTAACAAACGAAGACTATGTAATATACAATTATTATCATGTTAACCTGTCCTTTTTTCGTAGCTTACAACGAAGACCCTTGTCAGGCTGAAAATGGCGAATGCCGTTTAGATTCTACGTGCACCGATGACCGTTATGTGAGTGGCAAGTGCCCAACTCAAGCTGGTTCTATAAAATGCTGCTTCGATGTCCAAGGTTAGAAAAGCTTACATTAATTATTCAAGGTCTAGATGCCAATCAGCTCATCGCGCATTGTGTTCAGTAATGAGCTACAACGCTTTGTATAAACATAAACATCTAGTTGGTTCATTTAAAATGCAGTACGTCCTAACATGGACCATGGTCATAATATGGTGCGCCTGGTCCAAGAAACGTATGTAACCTATCTATCTCACCAAACACCTAGGTGGTAGAACATTTCAGGTCTGTCATTAACAAAACTTCAATTGATCATTCACTGCAATACCGGTCTTAAACCTGGTTCATAATTCGCACAGATTACTTCCCATTAAACCACACTTATAACGTAACACTATTCCCCCGTCCGTGTTTATTAAACGGAAGTACATTCAATGTGATTTTGACAGAATCTTCCTGGAACAATAATTTTCTAAACGAGGGGTGTTTAGGCAATAAACACTATAATTGTTCAATATATGCTACTATGTTGAAATTTAAACATTCTCCTCAATTTTAAAAGAGATATGTTTTTAAATAGCAAGAAGCTAAACCCTAATTCTTGAGATCAGCCAAGTTATGGGGTGGCTATCTCTACCATCTTTGCCAACCAAGGACCATTTATTCGGCCGAAGCCTTAACTTTAACCCTTGGCAGATTTTACCACGATTTACTGTATGTTGCACGCCATCAAGAACGATTATAAGATTCACTTGTCTCAGTTGCATCACCCGATCAGAACTCACGAAAGAAACGACACGTTACTTGGTAAAATTAAAATAGCGGAATCAAATAAACGTGTTGCTAGCTTTTTCTCTGAACGAGCTTACTGATCATCAAAAGAAATCGCGTTGTGCTGTATCTGAGGAAAATAACGTGTTTGTTTAAAACACAGTTTCTCGACTGTGTTGCAACGAAGATCGAATCGGGCAAGTCGATATGTTATCAGTTTCGACAGTTTACTAAAACACAGTTTGCACAAAAATTTAGACTTCCATCGTCCTTCCACTTGCTCCCCCCCCCCAAAAAAAAATTAACGTTGGAATAAGACATTTTGGAAACATATCAACGAATATAAACCTTTCTTGACTCCCGGTGAATCTGCATAAATCCTATACGCCGCCATTGTTTTAATCTGTGATGAGCTCCTCGATAATCACATAATCACATACAGTAACTCTGATTGGTGGCGCCAGCTCTTTGGCGCACCCAATCAAATGACTCAATTTAGCTGCAGTGAAATACAGCTTTTCCTAACACGATCACGCACGGGTTCGTGGGCCGGTTATGAATGGCCGGCTGTAGCGAAACTGTGCGATTCGGACGATGCTATCCCACTGACTGGGTTAAGTACGTAATTGGTGAGAAATGGGCTAAGTTTGTCACAGCTGAGTAGCATCAAAGTCTGTTACATAATACACGTACGTAGTTAACAAACCCACGTATACGTTACAGATACAGACTTGGAAACAAAATGAAATTGCATTCTCTTTCAAATTAACTGGGACTGTCGTTGCCTCACACTGTTTATGTTTCGTAGAATTGCCACAAGTACAGCAAATTACAGAGGAGGTATAATACAGAACTGTTCATATGACTGTGTTTTGTATGGAACTATCATGAATTTGTTTACGCGTATCTGTTGACCGACTTAATTAGCTGATTATTAGCTGAATTGCTGTGTTATGTCTGTCATCGTTTAGGTCTATTTGAAGTTTTGGACGGAACTTGGCTCAGTGATTTGGAACTAATTACGAGATATCCGTCGCGATTCTGACAGTTGGTATTCATAGTTATTAATGTAGTGAACGATTAATCAAAAGATATGACATATTCAGTACTTAGTGTGATTGGCTTTATGATTGAAGGTTACGCCCTAGAGTCTTTTACTGTTTTGTAATTGGTTAGAGTTTTGAAAATGAATAAAGAGAGTTTGAGTTGGTCTTGGGGAACACAGCACGATAGACGCAGGAGAGAGAGTCTGAGTCGAGAGTCCAGTCCAGGGGCGAGCCTTGAGGCAGTCCAGTCTTGGGCGAGTCTTGGTTCAGCCTTGTGAGAGTCTTTGGGACTTTTCCCCAGGGCGCTGTGTCTTATAGAGTGCTCCAAAAGATCGACTAAGACGAGAGTTGAAACGTATTTCGTTGTGTGTGTCTTATTTGACTGTAAAGTTAAAGTGACTTTCCCGATCCCGTACCTCAAGGGGACGAGATAGAGAGACGAGACGAGTTTCCCCCCTGACACGTGTGGAGAACCCAGAGAGAAAAGAATTCCCCCCGTGATAGAACGTCCGTTTTTGTTCTTCAGTTAATGAAAGAGATTTGAACAATTTGTTTTCAAATCAGCTATGGCAATTTTAGCGACCATTACTATAGTGAAACACAGTAAAAAAACATATCACATGCACTGTTAACTACAATTCCTTCATTGGGAAATCAGATACGTGCATGTCAAGTATCGGTTTCGTTAGGCAATACATTTTCTTGTTGACTTTTATTAGGTGTATGCGGCACAACCGTTCAAAGCCTAGCCTGTGACATTTTGAATCACAACTCCATTTACCTGTTGCCTGTCAATCCATCTGGAGTAGATGATGGTGCGGATGCTGCTTCCAACATGGCTGATGCGTGTAACAACCTTATGTCTAAGAGATCAAGGTAAATAAATTTGTTAACTCCTGAGAGCAGATTTGGTTGGTAAAGCGTCATGGGTTCATGTGTTCATGTCACTACCTTTCAACACTTTTTTTCTAGTTACACGTGTTCTTCTGGACAATCACCTGGTGGTTATGTGTGTCCGACTCAGGAGGTGTTGCAGTATATTTTAGACGTGGCCAATAATTATGCAAGTCCAAGTAACCAGCTCCAGGTAATTTGTTTTCGCAAGCGCTCATTAACGTAGATTACGTGCACAATTGACTGTATTGTACATTCAGAAAATGATACATAAATACGATTTAAAAATGTCAAAAACACATTAGAGTTGATTTCAACTATCACCCATCGTATTACCTTGAATCGAAGTTTTTAAAAAAAAAACGTATTTTAAATTTAGTTTTATACATCTTTTTACAGGTGAATTCCATAACGGGTGCTTGCCATTCATCGACTTCGAGACATTACAGTGGATATGCGGTCGATTTCCAAATAAAAGCAAACAGTCCCTACGAATCATACATGAGTATGTGTGCAGTTAGTGGAGCTGTTGAAAATCTCGGACCAGGCACACCAGGTCATTCAACCCACACTCATTGCGCATTTAATTAGGAGTATGGCTAAATCCCGCGGAGCTGGAAAAATATTGCGATAATACCAAGTATATACAACATCGTGCTTTATATTGAAATCATCCATTCGTTATTTATTGACTTCGGTTTGTAAAATACGACACGACTAACTTTAATTATGTTTGAGCGGCTTCAGTTATCACTGAGACTTGGTCCAGTCGTCCAACGGCATTTGGAACAATCAACACTATGATTAAAAAAATATGACAGACACTATGTGACGGGAAAAAAAAAACAAGTCACATGGCATCGCTCTTAACGAAGTCTCAGTGACCATTTGCGTCATGGGTCAATTTACACCGCAGTTGATTTTTGTATAACTTAGTGTTTACATGATATTTCGCACAAATACTATCTTCGCGAATACAAATGCCCGTTATGCTGGAATTAAACATAATGTCATTTATAAACAAGCGTACCACATGTATTAACATGAAATGCAAAAGTTAAAAAGAGATAATTAAGGTAGAGATGTAGGTTCGTGGGCACTTGGGCAATTTTTTTTTTTTTAGGTTTTTATTATCTTAACAGTCATGGCTATAGACTGTTAACATTTTGTAGAATTTTAAATAGTGGAACATACTTAAAAGCCGATTTTAAAATATAGATAACAGGTGCAAACATTCTCTCTTTTGAATGCTTAGCAAGATTTAGCAAGGCTGTACATAAATAATAAAAAAGAAACATGGTGAAAAGAAGTAATGCCGGGATCTCCATATTATGCACTATATTTAAGTTTTTACAAAACGATAATACATTTAAATTTGGAACTGTTACAGCAATTTTAATTATGAGCATTGGCAAACTTCTTACTGAGTGAATTGTTATGCAAATTAGCAATTATCTCAGCTTCTTTTTAGTGCACATCCCAGAACTATAGCTCCTAGACGCTTTGACCTTTTGTTTTGAAATTGTCACAAATCTTCAAAACGCCGTCGGGGCATTGTTTTTGGTTGAACAGTGTTACAACAATCGTACAAACAACTAGCCTGGGTGTTAATTTATGCATAAACTTGAATTAGTGAAATTTGAGCTGCTGCCCTGCAAAATTGACAACTGGTAGACAGTTTTCAAGACGGCACTTTCTTCATAGTAAACATATGTACCCGTAAACCAATTTTAGAAGGAAACGGAGGCATGGTTTAGAAGCAATTTTTGTTTAAATCACTTTTGACCAAAAAAGCACATTTTTGCGCATATTTCAAACTACAGTGTCCATAAAAAAATACTTACAAAATGTTTAAATTCATACAATAAGCTTTCTGAAAATATATAGTTTTGTGGACAAGGGAGGTCATCTTGGTTTCCTGATTAACTAATTAAAATACCTGTCAGGCATCTCTACCTTACTATGAGAAAGTCAAACTAAAAAACAGGTTTGAGTAAACAATTGACGGAATGACAGACACAGAAAGACGTTTCCTTGCAAAACTTAAAAGAACTCAAAGCTGAGAAAAAATTCCAGATCGCACCGTGAATGCCATCGATACTATTAAATGCACCCGGCTGGTTGCAGTGATTGTCACAGAAGGTAACCAGTCGCTTACTTAACATTTTTCAGCGAACCTATGTATGACTTAATCTGTCACATTTAAACAAAAACATAATAAAATCATTGCTGTACCCGCGAGCCCCAACTTTAAAAATATGAATGAATAAATAACAAAAAATACGAATAAATTATTTTCATATTTTCAAATCAATCAAAATCTTTTGTTCTTTATACAATGCTGTTAAAATAGAAAAATATTTTATATTTAGACTACATAGTTCGTGGGTTATGTATCGCATCTGCATATCATATATCACTATATTAAGATTAGACTATTCGTACAGTCACCCTTCTGCAGCGATATACAACAACTGCACAACATAATCACACTAAATGATATTAAGAATAGACTATTCGTACTGAAGTGTTTCGGAAGAAATATATCGCATCTCCATAGCATATATCACTTTCAATCATAATAAAACTGTTCGTGCATGCATGTTTCTGCGGCTATTCCCACAGAGATCTCATTTACAGCATCTGCCACACTAAACCATGTTTAAACCGGACCATAGACGTGTTTCTGGAGTGATATATCTCACTTCATAACACATATCATACTAAATCATATTGAAATAACTATGCTATAGACATACTGATTTCAACTTAATTTACTTATTGCTTTTCCAGGGCGACTTCCACAAATGTGGTACAGTTCAATTTTGTATTAACACTTGAAAATTAACACTACATTAACTGATTAAAAGAATCAGCAGAAGTGACGTCATGAAACAAATAAATTGAACAAACACAAATAAACTGAAACAAATTGTGGGTTTTCGGAAGTAAACATAGCCACGACGAGATCAAAAAGTAAATTATCACACATCCGTGTTTACAAAGAGAAATATTGATAAATACATTTGCCATCATTTCTGATAATTGTAACGGAGGACGGACAGGTGGATGGTATATGAATCCTGGTGATCTAATATATCATAAAATTGCTAATGAATTGGAATATTTATAACATCATTGCAAAAACTAGTTCAAAAATTGGTGGATGTTTCACAATATCTGATGAGTAAAATCTACAAAATTTAGAAAAAAACAAACAGATTGACTTATAAAACAATTATTTAAAACAATCAAAACGTAAATGACAATTGTACTATACGTGACGTCATCCAAGGCAAGATATATTACAGTCTGCAAGTCTACAAATGGTTGGTATCGATGTCTTTGCAATCAGTCATAACTTGTCTACTTGGTTGGGTTGTAGCGGCACTGGTTTGTTATTTGGCGTCACTGCGATGAACGACTGCAACTAAAAATAAAATTATAATATTTTGCTTGAAAAAGTATATATGCTATAATATATAGGATGACTGCATGATGATTGCACGCGACGTGCGCCCTCAATCATCACATTCGATAGAATCATTCGCTTAGTTATGAAGAGGGCGATAGTTTTATTATATACTCGTATTGTCCGCCCTCCATAACGCTATGAAAAACCCGATCAGCGAGCCGTGCTGTCATTTTTATACATTTAGGAAGGCGCTCACTCTGAACTAGTTTCTGTCGGTTAGCGGTACATAGTGTTACCGGAGATGACATTGGTCTTGACAGTACATAATTGTGCCGTTATATTGTGGGGTATACTTCGATCACATTAGCTACAGCTAGTTTTAAAACACGGGAAGATATTTAGGACTGAAATCTGACCTAGAAGTTGCGAGCGCGATCGAATTGTTGATGTTGTGATGTCAGGCGCAGGAAAGTAAATCCTCACTGCGCACATTTGAATAAATGGTAGACATAAGATTAATAACCGTAGAATCTCTAAACAATTACATTATGAATGGAATCATTATGGTAGCTGGGACGCTCACGCCGTACGACCTCCAGCCGTGATATCGTATCCAGGATTCGAGTTCATAAAGAATAGCATCACAGGCGTGCAACGAATGTGACCGGATACTTATATGACGTCATGTAGGCATATAGTAAGGCGAGAAAGAAGTAGTAAGACTTACCCGTGCGGTGGGTTTAAGTAAGGAGGCGCAGTCCATGTGTCCTTCTTCTACAGCTCTGTTGTAAGGAGTCTCTCCCTGCGTATATAAATATCAACATAAAAATCAATGTCAACAACGATGTATGCTGAGCAGACGAGAATATTCATTTCTAAGCATGACACCAATAAGTGTAATAACGCTTGTGTGTGTTGGACTGAAGGTTTAATTGCACGTGTATGCGCGAGAGTGCTCAGACGACTGGTTAATATACCCAAATTGTTCATATAATTTCAAAGAAATGCAGTGAAACGTGTTTAAAAGTGTCTGCTCATATTACCCTGTAATTTTCGAGTTCATAATCAGCACCGTTATTTAACAACACTTCGACGGCTTCTTTGTGTCCTTCACATGCCGCATAATGCAAAGCTGTATCGCCATGCTATGCATTTG